GGGAGTTGCGGTCTCCGTCGGCTCGGTAACCGCACCGGAGCCAGTGTGAGCAAGGGGTTAGACTGAACTGTCGCGCTTCTCGTTGCGTCACACCTCAACCCGCCTCAAAGCCAACACTGATTGGAAGTTCGTTTGGTGAACGGCTCCAAATTTTCTTTAACGGAGAGTCTCCAGACTGATCTGCGAGTAAAACCTTGAAAGCTCGCGAGATCAGGATGGTCTCACCAGGCTAATTTCCACTACCCTTTTGAAACCGTGTCGAGATCTGTCCGAGCAAGGTAACCAAGACCGTGCCACACATAATTGAACCGCACTGGTACTAGACTCTTTGTAATCATGAAATTTTGGACATCCATTAAAATACCAGCTTCTTTATGGCGCCACACAATTTCCAGGGATGATTCTGCTTAGCATTGTGATTAACCTCAACATCTGTCATTGTTTCCTGCATCTGGAAGCCCTGATTAGACTATCGTTTGTCCAGTTCCCAAAAGCCGACTCTGTCAATTAAATTAACCAAAGGCTGCCTTCTTCGCCTGACTCTCCGCAAGCTTCCTGAATGTTACGGGCGCCACCATGCTGATTTGGTTGTTTACCTCTGGGGAGCAGTAATACAGCAGATCGTCACTAGGAGGCGAGGAACCGTGGTAACCTGGTGTGTAAACAGTCTTAAGGAACCGAGGTCGGCACGGATCGGTTTTTAGAGGGTAATGTAAATGCCGCTTTTGCCTTTTAGGAACAGAAACGTCTTCAGCAACCCTAAACATTACTGAGTAGCAACATAGAATGAGTGGCAAAGTAATGGGGGGGGGGGTCTGGATGCTCTGAGCTAACTTAAAACAGCAATGACTACTGATCAGTTTAAAAGGTTTTTGTTCTAAACGTTTTTCAATCAGTGCACTAATGCTTTCAGCTTAATATTTTCTAGAGCGGTTCGCCCAATGACACCATACAGGCAAGCACTTCATTAATATGATGTTTAATGAGGTGCAGGCCTCTTTTTTCATTGCAAATTTACCATCATAATGAATTAAATGTAATACAGCCGTTTACAGAGCGAAATTCAGATTTAAATCTTTGTCACCAGATGATCCTCAAAAAATATTCTGAAGCCAAACCAACAGAAACACAGAAAACAAAGACAAGCTGCTACATTTGAAGATACGTTCACAACAAACCAGGGCGGAGGTAGGAGGGGATTTTAAAAATGGTTTCCATAATCATCCATACGTAATCCCTGAGGGATATGGAAGGCCTAAATAAGCACTTAGAGGGCTGGCTCCACCTTCTTGGCCAGAATTTCTAAGCTTGACTGTGCTTTGGTGTTTTTTTTTTATGTCTTGAAATAATCTTGATATGAAATAGTAATATAGTAAGAACCTTTTCAAACATTCACTGGACAGTGTTGCTGTATACACCAAACTCCAGGTGTTTTGGGTTTGGACACATCCTATAAACCAGGGCTCTGCAACCTTTCATATCCAAAGAGCCATTTTGCCCCACGGATCCGACCAAGTAAGAGTTTGAAAGCCGCAAAGTATGACTTCTTCAGAAAACAACCTTTTTTTTCTTTTTTTTTCATTATCCCATTTAGGAAATTAGTTGCCATCTTAAACAAACAACAATTTATGTATTTTAAGCTTTTTAAGTAGCATAAAACCACATAAATTCCAAGCTAATTAAAAGAAAAAGTGACTCTAAAAACATATTTCTGGTTCTTTTAAAGTCCTTATCTATCCTATAAAAACCACTAAAGCTTTTAAGACCGGTATTAATCTTATAGTACATTATTTAGCTCTTTATATAGATTTTAGCCACTATTAAGAGTGCCTGTAGAGGCTCTAAAGAGCCACATGTGGCTCTGGAGCCGCAGGTTGCAGACCTTTGCTATAAACCATTTTTTTTCTGTATTCGAACTGGTAAAACAAAGTTTCTACATTAAATTGGAAAATTTTTCCATACCATGTATTATAGCCTTAATATTTTATCCATTAATAAAATTCTTTAGTTTACATAGACAATATGCAACGATTGGGTCTTCATAATACAGCATCTATTTATTTTTACTAAGCGCTACTACAATCTTCATCCTGCTATGATTTTATCTCTCCGCTGCCATTTAGCTGAAGTTTAAAAAGTCTTAAGAGATTAAGCTGATCTTCGTAAGTCTCTGACCCTTAAGTCCTACCTGGTTCAGGCGTCTCAGAGTGTGAAGACGATGAAGCTGAGGACGCCCCGTCTTCACTGACCACGCCTTGGGACAGCGTCATCCCCCTCCCTGGAGGAAGCTTCATGCCGAGCTGCTCTGCCATCTCCACGTGATCACCAGGGTGGACATAGTCAAATACACTGCTTCCTGTAAGCTCAACCTGTCAGAGAAAACAATGAATATGTTACAATTCATCCATTAAAGTTTTTTGTAACCTTTGTTCTTTAAAAAAAAACATTGTTAATGTTAAAAAGTTAAAGCCATATTTTTTTAAAATAAACTAAGCAAGTGAAGGTCACTAAATGGAAGTTATATTGATATTGGAGAGTCAAAACTATGAAACATTTTCAATCATACCAACCCTAAGGTTTAACCTGGTGTTCATAAGACGTCAGAAAAGGTTTTTCTGCAGCTTTTTAAAGCCTAAAAAACACTCGGCTTCCACCATGAGCTCCTGCTTTCTGCCTTTCACTAGCAGAAAAAGAAGCATTCTGATTCTCATTAACAAAGAGGCCAAAACCATCAGCATAGAAATTCTGAAATTTGTGAAAACATTATTCAATGTAATACTTCTTGCTCACATTAACATCACATATGATCTACTTGATTTTAATGAAAATCAGTCAGCTATTTGTACAGGGTGCTCTTTTTGGTAAGATGCATTGAGTCACTTTCCGTTTTTGACTGCTGACCGACCTTCTTTTGGTGCTGCTAAAGCTCCCTCTATCTGACCTAAATGATCTTTTCTTTTGGGCTGAACATCCAGAAGTTAGACCACACCCTATAATTAACAACTCGAGCAACCAAGACCAGGGACAAGTCCACGTTGTGGTCCTCCAACAGTTCCTGAGCAACCTGGAAATGACTGGGTGACGGTACACAGAAAGCATAGCCGTAGCCCTTTGCCCACTGGTCATGGTGTAACTTTGTGATGAAAGTTGGTAGGTCCATCAGCCTCTACTGGTGGAGGCTGATGGACCTACAGTTACTCGACATGAATGCTTTCATTAGGATTAAGTATTTTCCAAAAATGAGCTCAAACATATATTTATTGAATGCTTTCCTATTGTTTAGAACACAAGAGAACCATAATACTGATATTTTCATAGATAGAAGATAGAGGGATGCCTTTTAGTGCATTATTATTCATTCCCATCTCTCAGCAGCTGATTCACTGGTGCTGCCAAGCGCATATGTATATATGTGTAGGTGTGTATATGTATATATATATATATATATATATATAGTATATATATATATATATATATATATAGGGCCCAAAAAGCATTAATGTATAGAAAAATAATGAATAACAGTCGATTCCAATGCCAAAAAACGATAAATCATGCATCTCTAGAATTGACTATTTCAATTCCATCCATCCTTCCAGAAAAATATGTAACTCTCATTTTAAATATAGCATAGCATCTTGGAGACATATGTTATTGCATGTGGCATATCTCATTAAATCTGTTTCACCTTTTAATCTACGGCTCTCCCTGCTTTTCTCTGTGCTCTGTTTAAAAAGATTTGTGAATCTCTTTACTAATAAAATGATGCCAGAAAAAAAAGTCAAAATATGTAGAAGCTCTGCAGTCTGGTTCTGTCTGTTCAATAAGAAAACGTGTGAATTTTAACCTGTAACTGTGAATCCTGGTCCTCTGAGAAGTAAAGCTTTTTTTTAACTAGTAAAGAAGAACAAACTGTTTTCTCAAGCTTCTTACATTATAATACTAACTTGTATAAACTTACAATCTGTTGCCATTTTTAGCTGAAACAGCTCCGGATGTCTAACAAACTGATTTTTCGGTGGCATCTCTAATTTTTTTAACCAACCCGTCTCCTAACATTTAAACATCGAAGTAGCTGCTGGTTAATATTCACTAAATATTGCTGCTGTGTGTCTCTCCTCCTTTACGTAGCTCCCTCTGAGAGGAGGGACACGGGAAAACGCTGATTCAGAATGCTGTGAACACAGTTAGCTGCACCCAGCCTCTGTTACCTTTGTCTAAAGTCAATGAGTGGAAAGAGGAAAAAGTGGAAATGATTGGGGACCGTCCCCACCAGGCCATGGTGGTGGTGGTGATATATCCACACCAGTCCCTGCAGAAAGTTACACCTGTGCCACTGGTCACCACCAACCAGTCCATAATTCTAAGCAATTTTCTCCACACAGGGACACACCCACTGAGAAGCCCACTCTGGTAATTACCTAGCCTGGGTGCCATTCCGAACTTAGTCCCGCCCACAACGTTTGAGGTCGGGAAGTTCGGTCTGGCT